GCACGAGTCAGCAGCAGCTCCAGCAGCAGCAAATGAGCTGCGGGGGGCAGCGCCACCCCCAGAGCCATGGCATCGTCATACAGCTGCGCAGCAGCAAAAGTCACAAGGCAAATTTGCTTCTGCTGCTGCTGCTGCATAGCTAGCAGCAGCAGCATAGGCAGCAGATGCAGCAGCTAGATCAGCAGCAGCAGCGCAGCAGCAGCAGCAGCGGAGCAGCAGCAGCAAAAGGCAAGCCCACTTTTGCGCATCTTCTGATGTCAGTGTGTTCAGGTGTCACTGCAGCTCGCAGCATCAGCAAGTAACTCGACGGGGATATCGGCAGTCTCCTGCAGCAGCAGCAGCAACAGCAGCAGCAGCAGCAGCAGCAAGTGCTGTAGTTCAAGCCGCAATGAGCACTGAGGCAGCAGCAAACGTTTCTTTGAAAGAAGGTATGCGGCAGCAGCAACAGCAGGAGCTGCAGCAGCTGCCACAGCAGCAGCAGCAGCAGCAGAGCAGCAGCAGTGGCAGCTGTGTGAGCCTCAGCGCAAGTACTCCGAACTGCAACCGCAGCAGCGTCGCACAGCCAGCAGCAGCAGCAGTAACAGCAGCAGCAGCAGCAGCAAAAGGAGCGGACCAGTCGTGTCTGAGGGAAAGGAAAAGCTTATCTGCTGCTGCTGCATCTTTTCTACCTAATGCATCTTCCAAAAGATTAAAAACAATAAATAAAGAAGGAGGAGAAGACAAAAAGTATTTGCTGCACTCCAGCACCTGCGCAGCAGCAGCACGCAGCAGCAAGCGACGCAGCAGCAGCTGCAGCAGCAGCAGCAGCGAGACGGACGCACTCAGAGCAGCAGCAGCAGCAAGGCAGCAGCAGCAGCAAGGCAGCAACAGCAGCAAGGCAGCAGCAGCAGCAAAGCAGCAGCCGCAGCGCACAGCACAGGCTTCGTCGTGGCGTTTGCAAAGGGCCGCAGCAGCAGCAAGTCGGGTGGCGATCTCGCTGTGCGTGGTGCTGCTGCTGCTGCTGCTGCTGCTGCCGCTGAGTCTCCCAAAGTTATTCAGCAGCTGCAGCAGCCGCAAAATTTGCTGCCAATCCTTGGGCAGCCGGACCAGCCGCAGCAGCAAAAAGAGACACTCGAGGGCGCTGAGGTCTTCGGAGCGGCGAACAGCAGGCACTGGAACTGCTGCTGCTGCTGCTGCTGCTGCTGGGGTTGCTGCTGCTGCTGTTGCTGTTGCTGCTGCTGCTGCTGGGGTTGCTGTGGCTTCAGCGGGGTGCTGCGTCGCCCACGCGCTGCCAGGAGCACCGCCCGCAGGGGCGCCCCAACGCCCCCGCAGCTGCTGCTGCCGCTGCTGCTGCTGCTGCTGCTGCTGCTGCTTCCTGGGGTTCCAGGGGCGCTGCAGCGAAGGCTTTGCTGCTCTGCCGCCCCCGCGCTGGCTCTGGCGAGGCAGCCACAAAGAGTGGTGCTGCTTGAAGCTTTCGTCTATGCGAAGCAGCAGCTGCTGCAGCAGGGCCTTGCGTTCCTCTTCGGACAGCCGCCGCTGCTGCTGCTGCTGCTGCTGCTGCTCTTGGTTTCGGCGCTGCGAAGCGGGCACGCGCTTCTCCTGTTCCCGCTGCCGTTGCTGCTGCTGTCTCTGCAACATAAGCGAGAGGCGAGTGGACAGCCGCCCGTGCGCAGAATGGGTGTTGCGGCGCAGCAGCAGCAAATGCTGCTGCTGCTGCTGCTGCAGCGCCCGCCTGCCGAGCTGCAGCAGCAGCAGCTGGGGCTGCTGCTGCGTTACTCCACTAAGAAGGAACATTTCCCTCTATAAAGTGAAATGTGCAAGAAATTTCCCATGAGGAAATGCATGCAGCGCCGAAAGCCCCAGGAGCAAAAGCTCGACGCAGCAGCAAACCAGCTTTCTTGTTGCTGGTCTTGCTGCTGCTGCTCTTGGTGCTGAAATCAAATTAAATTCACATTTTTAATTCTTTAAAAGCATTTCGAAGAATAATATGCGGAGTTTCAGCGGTGTGATGCTACTGCTGCTTCGGTTGCCGCTGTTGCTGCTGCTCGTGCTGGTGCTGCTGCTCGTGCTCCTGCTGCTGCTAGCATTCTGCTGCTGCGGTTTTTCAAGGAATTGAAATGCATCTTTTTCGAAATTAATTTTTCAAATATTTTCCAAAGACAAATCTCATCTTGAAGAGGAAATGGCATTAGAGCCAAAGCTGCTTCAGCACCGCCAACTGCCCAAACCCTAAACCCTAAACCCTAAACCCTAGCTCGCTATAGTCCACAGGAATGCCCTCGAGACAGCAAGCTTGGACAAGTGCTGCTGCCCTGCAGCCGAAGGCAGCAAAACTGTCCTTTGCTTCCAGCGCCTTCAGAAAGCCTGGTAGCAGCAGCAGCAGCGGCAGCAGCAGCAGTAGCAGCAGCAGCAGTAGCAGTAGCAGCAGCAGGAGCAGCAGCGGGAGCAGCAGCAGGAGCAGCAGCAGGAGTAGGATTTAGGTGCTGGAGATGCAGCGCCAGTTACTGCTGCCGAAGCAGCTTCTGTTATAAATGGTGCATCAAATGGATATTGAATAATTAATTAATCAATTAATTAATTTAATTCGCAAATTTAGGGTTTACAGAGAGGGTTTACAGGTTTATCTTGCTGCAGCTGCTGCCACTTGTGCTGCAGCAAGTGAGGCCCCACAGCAGCCAGCCCTGGGCACAGCAGTTGGCGTTTTGCTGCTGCACTTCAAACGTGTTAAGACGCAGCAGCAGCAGCAGCAAACTGCTCCTCGAGAAGCAGCAAAAGTCAAATCCCAAGCAGCTGGAAAAGCTGGCTTTCTGCTGCTGCTGATGCTCTTCCCTGTGTGGGCAGCCAGTCGCTGCTGCTGCTGGTGCTGCTTCTGCTTGTGCTGCTTCTGCTTGTGCTGCCGCTGCTCCTGCTGCTGCTGCTGCTTCTGCTGCTGCTGCTGCTGCTTCTGCTGCTGCTGCTTCTGCTGCTGCTTCTGCTGCTGTTGCTGCTGCTGCTTCTGCTGCTGCTGCTGCTTCTGCTTCTGCTGCTGCTGCTGCTTCTGCTGCTGCTGCTTCTGCTGCTGCCGCTGCTGCTGTTGGTGCCGCTGCCGCTGGTGCCGCTACTGCTGCTGCTAGGGGCTCAGCCTGTTAAGAGCAGCTGCTGCTGGCGTGTCTAGAAGAGAAGGGTTTAGGGTTTAGGGTTTGCGGAGACACAGAATAATTCCAAGTCCCTATTAATATCTTATTCTACAAAAGCTCCAAAAGAATTAATTAAAGAAAATGAAGCAGCAAAGGCCTTGCGAGCCGCTGCATGAAGCCGATCGAGCTGCTGCTGCTGCTGCTGCTGCTGCTGCTGCTGCACCTGCAGCAGGTCTGCAGCAGCAGGCGAGCAGTTTGCTGCTGCTGTCTGAGGGTCTCAGCAGCAGCTTTTTGAGATTAAACTAAAAGTGCTTCTTCGCTTACAATTAAAGCGGGGGCCAAACTTGCGTAGGCTCCTTGTGTAGCTCTATTTTTGCTGCTGCTGCTGCTGCAGCTGCTGCTACAGCTGCTGCTACAGCTGGTGCTGCAGCAGCTGCTGCTGCCACTGCTGCAGCTAGCTGCAGCTAGCTACAGCTGCGCCCCTAATGGGCCTCTTTAAAAGGAACAGAAAGCTCTAATAAATGAAGAAATAAAAGAACTGAAAAAAGTCTAAAAGAAAATTCCAAAAGCCTCCGGGAAGGTGGTGGCAGCAGCAACTTCAGCTGTATGTACACCTGAGAAAGCGGGGCTTCTTAGTGCCTTCTGGAGCCCTAGAGGCGGTGCTGCTGCTGCAGCTGCTGCTGCGAGCTTGCTGCAGCAGCTGCTGCTGCGTTTGCTGCTGCTTCTGGAGCTGTTGCTGCTACGGCGGGCGTGGTCGATGGGGTTGCTGGTGCTGCGGCTGCTGCTGCCGGCGCTGCTGCTGCAGCAAATCCTGCTCGCAGCCCTTTCAAAGATAGTTTAAATTTTGAATTTTAAATAAAATTAATTTTTGATTTTGTCTTTGGAGTGTTTTTGAGGCGGCTTGCGGCGGCTCGCCACTGTGGCCGACTGGGGGCCCCACAGGCGCCGCCGGGTGCACAGCAGCACTTGAACGCCAAAATGCGGAATTGAAAAGATATTATTTCGAAAAGAATAAAAGAAAATATCATTAAGAGATAAAGAAGTGCGAGCTGAGGGCGGGAAGCCGCGAGAAGAGCGGCGGCGAGCTGCAGCAGCGCCTCCTGCAGCTGTTGCTGCTGCTGGTGCTGTCTTCAGCAGCAGCGAACCTCTGCTGCTGCTGCTGCTTCAGCTTTCTCCTTTTGACTTCCTGCAGCAAAAACACTCTCGGCTGCGTCGGCTAAAAGGCCCTTTCTGCGCCCCGAGCTTCGAAATAGAAGTCTAGCTGCTGCACCCCTCAGGTGTTTGTACACCTCAGCTGCTGCATGCAACAGCTCCCAGCCCAGCGCCTTCTCTCGCTGAAGCCTTCGTCTTCTAGAAACCCTAATCTAGGGTTTCGGCGACGCGGGCCGCGCCCAGGGTTTAGGGTCTGCGCCCTAGGGTTTCGGGCCTAGGGTTTAGGGTTTAGGGTTTGGGGTTTGGGATCGAGGGCTCAGGTTGCTGCCAGCCCTGAAACACCATGAAAACACTTTCTTGTGAAGGCCTCGGAGGCGCTTTGTGGCAGCACCTTCAGAAGCAATAGTAAAGGATCAGCAGCAGCTGCAGCAGCAGCAGCAGCAGCAGCAGCTGCAGCAGCTGCAGCAGCAGCAGCTGCAGCAGCAGCAGCAGCAGCTGCAGCAAGGCCCCCCGCAGCAGCACCACCAGCAGCGGCACCTGCAGCAGCCGCAGTCGCAGCAGCGGGCCGGTGGCAGCAGCAGCGCGGGCAGCAGCAACAGCGCATGCAGCAGCAGCAGCACATGCAACAGCAGCACAAACAAGACCACCGGCAGCAGCTGCAGCAGCAGCAGCAGCAACTTCACCGACACTAGAGGCGCATCTGCAGCAGCAACTGCACCAGCAGCAGCAGCAGCAGCAGCAACAGCGGTTTGATCTTCGGACTTGTGAGCAGAGGTTTGAACTCTGCGCCAGCTGTCGTGGTCTTGGGGCTACGGCTTACGACCTAGGGTTTAGGGTTTAGGGTTTAGGGTTTAGGGTTTGGAAAGCATGAAGGGGTTTTCAGCAACGGAAGCGGCCGTTAACTACGATGGCCTCGAAGGCGCCTCAGAGCTGACACCAGAAGATAGGTCAGTTGCTGCTGCTGCTGCTGCTGCTGCATTGCTGCTGCTGCTGCTGCTGCTGCTGTTCTGCTGCTGCTGCCGCCTGCTTTTGCATGCACTGGTGCAGCTGGTTCATGTCGTGTTTTGCTTTAAGTAATTCGGAAGTTTCTTGCTGCTGCTTTTGCTGCTGCTGCTGCACCTGTTGCTGCTGCTGCTGCTGCTGCTTTTGATGCTGTTGCTGCCGTTGCTGCATCAGCTGCTGCTGCGCCGGCCTCTGTCGCTGCTGCTGCTCCTCTCCCCATTTCCCAACTCACAGCAGCAGCAGCAGCTGCTGCTGCTGCAAGGCCACTTGGCAGCAGCAGCAGCAGCAGGACGAGGAGGAGTGCGATTTCGCCGCTGCTGCCGACGCTGCTGCTGCTGCTGCTGCTGCTGCTGGGGTGTCTGTACAGAGTGGTGTGCGTGGAGGGCTTTCGAAGAAGCAGCTTTTTGAATTTTATTTTTTATTTCTTTTCTTTTTTCTCGGGAGGATTTATTTCTCTTTTGGGCCGCTGGTTCCCCGTCGCCAGGTTCAGGTGTACGTACACCCGCTGCCCCTTGGCAGCAGCAACTCATGTCCTCATTTCCACTGCAGCAGGAAGCAACCAGTCAGTGCTGCTGCTGCTGCTGCTGCTGCTGAGGATGCTGCTGAGGCTGCTGCTGCTGCTGCTGAGGCTGCTGCAGCTGTTGCTGAGGCTGCTGCGGAGGCTGTTGGGGAGTTGGTGTTACTGCCGCAGTTGCTGCTGCTGCTGCTGCTGCTGCTCTCACTGGTGTTGCTGCTGCTGCTGCGGGTGCGGTCGATTGCTGCTTGCTGCTGCTGCTTCTGTGGCTTTTGCGTTGCTGCTGCTGCGGCTACTACTGCTGCTGCTGCCGCACTTAGCGCAGCTACTGCGATTGCTGCTGCTGCTGCTGCTGCTGCTGGGGTGTCTGTACAGAGTGGTGTGCGTGGAGGGCTTTCGAAGAAGCAGCTTTTTGAATTTTATTTTTTATTTCTTTTCTTTTTTCTCGGGAGGATTTATTTCTCTTTTGGGCCGCTGGTTCCCCGTCGCCAGGTTCAGGTGTACGTACACCCGCTGCCCCTTGGCAGCAGCAACTCATGTCCTCATTTCCACTGCAGCAGGAAGCAACCAGTCAGTGCTGCTGCTGCTGCTGCTGCTGCTGCAGTGTTGCTGCGCTCAAGCGGCTGCCGTTTTCGCCCTCCTCTTTGACAGCTCTTCCAGCCAACTGCAAATTTGCTGCTGCTGTGGAGCAGCGCCGGCGCCGCCGGTGCAGCAGCAG